CCCCCAGCTTGTATGTTAAAAAAGGCCCTGAGCTAAGTAGCTTTATGCATAAACGTGCACATGTGACATGGTTTACGTTTTCGTCGGTTAGCACTATTTTCCACCCAGCAAACTGACCTGACGTCATTTTCGGAAGATGGAAGAGGTGTCAACCCTACCCCTACTCTAACCCCTAACCACAACCCTAACTCTAACCGAATTAATAAAAAAAAACATCAAAAAAGAAACGACTTTAGAAAATCGATAGAGTGGTTTGCTGGATGGAAAATAGTGCTAACCGTTATTTTGGTCCTGTACAAACGTAATATAATATATATGCTCCCTAATTCTGGAAAATTGCGATTTAACCGCCAACGGAGGCACAGGGCGAAGTTTATATTATCACACATTTATCCACAGGCGGCCCAGACGTGTATTAGTGTATAGTAAATATATAATTATAGAATATACTACACAGTAAAATTTGTAATGAATTTTTTACACGTCTGGGACGATCCCAAGCTCATCTTACACTCATCTTACAGCGGTGTCATATTATATCCAGCACAGATAAGCATTATCCCATTTTGACCAATAATGTACATCATCATATAACAGTTCAGTTCATCAACATAAAAGTTGATTACAAATTCTCAACAAAACGAATTTTGAATAGCTACTTAAATATTTATGAATTCTCGTACGGGACGACAGCGGAATTTTTATAATGAAGCAAGTTAATAATGAACGCTCTTTGTGTTTTATATTTTTGAACTAAAACATGAGGAATATAGTACTAGAGATTTTACTGCTTGTTGCAGTTGTAAACTTTGAATTAATTGAATATACTTCTGCAGTACCTTCGTACGGTTCGAGTATTACTGGATTTAGATATTGGAATACACGATGTGATATGAATTATGCAGACGACTGGCTAGGATACTGGAATAACGATGGCACACGGAATGAATATCGGAGATCACCTAGTAATACATTTGAGCCATGTCCATGCGGTTCGTGTTCAAATAACGAGCTACAATGCAGCACATTTGGGCCTGGAAACATATTGTATGTATATACTTACTGTTCAACAGTTTGTTTATAATTACTTAAGCTTTTTCAAACGTTTGTTGTGGCCTTGTAGTTACTGGCTTTCTTATCATAACACGCAAGGTCGCAATATTGCATTCAATTTATAGTTTCTAATGACAAACGTAGAATGTATTGAATGCGTTTCCCGAGGGGATTATATTTCATATATTTTCGGCAGTAACATGAAACTATAAAAGCAGATCAGTGCTCTTATGCTATTATCTTGCAGGTGGTTCTCATGGAAACAAAAAAGTTGTGTTGTGTGAAATTGAAAACAAAATAATAAATGAAATATTGTCAGTTTAGAGGCAGTATGGCAGGCAGTGTACATAATTTGAGACCATATTTACAATGCAGTATATATTTCAGGGCTGTAGCAGCTGGGGGGGGTGCAGCCCAGGGGCGGATCTAGGGGTCGTCAAGTCAGTCGTGCGACTGAAGTAAAAATTGCCTACTCAATTAAAAAAATCTCCAGCTATCTATAGCGGCCAGTAGATCGAGTTATTAAAATTTTGAATCGTAGTCCAGTTATACGTTTCATGCTGCGGCAGAGCTTCGGCAAAGTAATGTTAGTCAGTCACGAACAGCGGTCTTACGCATAAATGTTGACGGATTCGGGGGTTGAATCCGGCTATCTGATTGGCTGACGCGCTCATTTCCATGGTTATAGCCATTTGCGACGGATCTGTGGGGAGGACTGACGGATTTGCAGATTCAGGGGCTCTGCATGAGTCTTCTGATTGAACCATTTAAAAATATTCTGCACTGTCATTGGCTTATATTTTCGACAGATTCGAAGTGTGGGGTATTCGTCAACACTGCATTTGGTGTTTTATACGTCCTGAATGTTTACTATTTCGAACGTCTGGCATGTGAGAAATTTTACTATTATATTTTTACGAGCGATCTCTGCCAGCGATATCTGGAAACATTTTAGACAATATTCAGTTTGCGATTGCCGCAAACGATTTAGAATCTCTACAACGTTTGTATACGAAGCTTGAGAAGAATATCGATGCTTCACGGACAAATTCTGTTGACGAGCTACTGAACGGCAAAGTGAGCGCCATCAACACAAGCAGAAGCCACGCTAGAAATTTTGGCGCAGAGAGCTACATTCCGAAGTATGTTCAAGATAAGAAAGACAAAGCTTGCACTGCAATAAGGTAGAGAAATTTATGGTTTTATAATGATGTATCTTTAGTTTATATTAATTAAACCGAAGAACCAAAGCCGTCGGTGTTGTTTAATAATGATTGTTTGACATATGATATTTTAATATTCGCTATGCTGTATTAGCATAATTCTCGCGTCAAGAAGCTAAAATATGTTTTATTCAATGTCCACATTGTAAGCATGATTCTCGTGTTTATAGTGAAGTTTTATTTAAGATTTATTTATATTTATGCATTGATCACACAACATGTCGGTCTTATAGAATACTGTTTGTCCATAGCCTATCGACACGGCTTGTTAGACCGCATTGGTCTGGTGTAACATGATGATGTGAAATATTTAATAAGCTAGCTTGAAAAGCTCATTGACTGGTAGCCATTCTCATGTAACTACTAGTAGTTTATATTAATGTTTGACATAACATCTTTATATCTTGTTAATGTAATAGTGTTTGAGTTAGTTATGAATATCTGGTTGTTTTTTTGGATCTGAGGGTACTAGCAATTATTTGTATAGTTCTGCGTTTTTGGTAACAGAACAGTATATTTCCTTAATGCATTTGCTGCCATATGATTTTACAAGTTTTACAATGATACACTTATAGGTATATAGTATCAATATGACGACGATTGATTAATCCACAGGCAAACATGTTATTAAATTGCTGCTGAGTTTTAATGTATTATATCATAGTAATATATCCATAAAATTTTGTATTGGAATAGGATCAATATATCTTTGTGCATTTGTAGTTTTTCTTACAATGGATAAGAATCAAATGTTCGTTTGAGTTTATCAATTTAAATTTAATCTAAATACGTTTTTCACGCCCAGTCGAGACCACGCCCAGCGCCGACAACGCCCCGTCCGCCAAAAAATTTTGACTGAGGTACGAAAAATCCTAGATCCGCCCCTG